CCATTCCTGGCTACTATTTTGTATTTTTAGTAGAAACAGGGTTACACCATGTTGCCCAGGCTGATCTTGAACTCCTGACCTCAGCTGCTCCACCTGCCTCAGCCTGCCAAAGTACTGGGATTACAGATGTAGCCACTACACCCAGCCAGCATTGATTTTTTTTAAAATGCAATCTCCTATTCAAAAGACAACCCTGTGTTGGGCTCTGTACCCCATTATTGGCAGGTATAGGATGCACCCCATTGTTGGTAGGCATGGGAAACATGTTTAACAAATAGCTGGGTCACTGACCAATCTAAGACTTACTATCGATACTAATCATTGAGTGTCATATTTGTGAAAGTCTTCCAGGTGGATCTCTGGGGCTCACATGGCCAGATGGGTTTCTTGTGACCATCTTTAGCTTTGCTGCTCCAGGGCTCTTGCATCCAAAGAGAGATTCTTGTTAGATTTAGGTGTTCAGAATCAGAAGGCATCAGGCTGGCTGGCACTAGGGCTCCTGTGTTGAGAAGGAAGCTTATTTTCCCCTATGACCACAGTTTATTCATTTACAAGGCCAGGCAGTCATTCAGTAGACAATTCCTAAGCAATTACTACATACCTGGCACTGGAAATAAAAATAGGAATCTGACAAGCTCCTGTCTTCAGAGTCCCTTAGGGGAAACAAACATATAATTTTTAAAAAATAGGGCTGGGCGCGGTGGCTCAAGCCTATAATTCCAGCACTTTGGGAGGCCGAGGCGGGTGGATCACGAGGTCAAGAGATCGAGACCAGCCTGGTCAACATGGTGAAACCCCGTCTCTACTAAAAATACTAAAAATTAGCTGGGCATGGTGGCACGTGCCTGTAATCCCAGCTACTCAGGAGGCTGAGGCAGGAGAATTGCCTGAACCCAGGAGGCGGAGGTTGCGGTGAGCCGAGATTGCGCCATTGCACTCCAGCCTGGGTAACAAGAGTGAAACTCCGCCTCAAAAAAAAAAAAAAAAATTATGATGCCACATCAGCTATATGTACCAAGTACAGTGGCAGACAAAACAGAAGAGGGATTGGCCCAAAAAAGCTTCAGAGACTTAATAACCATAGACACATGGATTGTGTACTAGCCATGGGCTAAATGCAGTGTAATAGCACAGTGATTAAGTATGTAAGCTTCAGAGTCAGACCAAAGTTCAAATCTCAGGTATGTCATTTACCTGTGGGCAAATGACAACCTAAAAAGGCTACCCAGACCAGGTGTGGTGGCTAACACCTGTAATCCCAGCCCTTCGGGAGGAGGCCAAGATGGGAGGATCACTAGAGGCCAGGAATTCAAGACCAGCCTGAGCAACATAGTGAGATCCTTCACCCATCCCTACAAAAATAAAAAGACTGTCCAAGCCCCAATTCCCTCCTATGTATAATGAAGTAAAAATTGTATCTACCTGACCCACTGTCAAGATTAAAGTAGGTGAGGCACATGGTATCGGTTTCCTAGAGCTGCCATACCAAATTACCACAAACTTGGTAGCTTCAAAGAACAGAAATGTGTTCTCTCACAGTGCTAAAGGCTAGAAGTCTAAAATCAAAGTACAGGCAGGGCCATGCTCGCTCTGAAGTTGCTAGGCGAGAATCTTTCTTTGCCTTTTCCTGGCTTCTGGTGGTTGCCAGCAGTCATTGGCATTCCTTGGCTTGTAGATGTGTCGTTCCAGTCTCTGGTATTGATGGCCGTCTCTACTCTGTATCTGTGTTTCTGCGTCCAAATTCCCTTTTTCTTATGAGGACATCCATCATACTAGATTCAGGACCCATCCTAATTCCGTATGTCCTTGTCCTGACTTGCATCTGGAAAGATGGTATTTTCACGCCCACAGGTTCTGAGTAGACATGAATTTGAAGAGCACACTATTCAGGTCAGTACGCTCACCAAGTAAGCACTCCATCAATACTCGCCATCGAAATTATGAGTATTGGGTGGGTGCAGTGGTGCACACAAGTAATCCCAACACTTTGGGAGGCCAAGGTGGGAAGATTGTTTGAGCCAGGAGTCAAAGACTTGCCTGTACCATGTAGCAAGATCCCATCTCTACAAAAAAATATATTTTAAAAAGTTAGCTGGATGTGGTGACACATGCCTGTAGTCCCACCTACTCAGGAGGCTGAGGTGAGAAGATCACTTGACCCCAAGACACAGACGCTGCAGCAAGCTATAATTGCATCACTGCACTCCAGCTTAGGTGACAGAGCAAGATGCTATCCGTAAAAAAAAAATTATGAAAGTTATTAAATTCTATCGGCAAACCTCGGAGATGGATATTATCCTTGCTGAACAAGGAACTGAAATGGGAGTTAAGTCGTTTTGTCTAATGCTGTTTGACAAGCAGCAGAGCAAAGATGCAAACCTGCCGGGTTTGACTTTAAAACCAGGGAGGGTCACCAGCCACAATCATGCACCATGAGCTGGCCCCGACAGGCAAACAGGAGTTCTCTGGACAGTGTGAAAGAGGGAGACCAGGCAGGGTAAAGAGCCTGCAAAGTAAACAGGAAATTGCCTCCTGATGCCAGCTCTCAGTCACATTCATAGCTGGCTAGGTTGGAAGGCCTTATAGACTTTACGAGCCCATCCCCTCCTTGTTCACACAAAGACTTCAAGAAATTCAGTCATTTGCCCAAGGCCCTTTATCTGGTTGGTGAAGATCCTACCCTGCAATCTACATTTTGGCCTCAGAGTTCAGCATTTTTGTTTATTTTGTTTGTTTGTTTGTTTCGATAATGACCATAGATACACATGTGTCTGGCAGGCAAGAAAACGTGTCGCTAGCCTTTGACCTGTAAGGCAGCTACGGACTCACGCAAGAACCGGGTCTTAGCATCTCCACCCCTTCTTCCCCCACTCCCATTGCCAAACACAGAGCCTAGTTATAAAGGCTAAAGATAGAAAAGTTGAGAATCAAAGAAATGCTAACGGCTTCTTGAAGAAGGTAGTGTGGCAGCAGCAACTCAGTCTGGGAAAGGCACGAAAGCATGAAGTCCCATGCAGAGTATATCCCACGAAAGCATGAAGTCCCATGCAGAGTATAGTCGGGACCCTGTCGGCCAGGACTCAGCAGACCGCAGGGAGAGCCTGTCTCCAACCTGGGGTGAGATGAATCATATTAGCAGCTGCTCTAGACAGTTTCTGGACATCTCTGAGATTTAAAAAATAATAACAAATAAAAATTGTAAATTTTTCCCTTTACCACTGCCAAGCCCTGGGGTGTGAATGTCCTGCTCTGAGCTGTCCTCGCCTTCTCACAACACAATCAAAGGGTCCTTTCCAGTGTGCAGGCTGATTGTGCCCCTCCCCTCACCACCTGCCTCCCCATGAACCTCAGAATAAAAGGCAAACTGCTTATCCCTGTACAAAGGCCCCTAGGTAGAGGCTATTCCTATCTTTCCAGTTTCACCCCTTGCCATCAGAAAAAATATTTACATACATACATACATCTTCTCTTCTCTTTCACTCAGCTTCTGCCATGCAGCTGATTATGTCTCCCACAACCTCAGTGCCTTTGCACATGCCTGCTATGCCCTACCTGCTCTCTCTTTACTTAACAGCTAATTGTCTTTAATGTGTCTGTACATCTCATTCTAGGAATCTATATTAAAGGTGTACAGAGGTGTATAGGTGGGTTATATTATACCTGAACTGAACCTTCGACTGGAGGGAAAAATTTAAAAAAGAGATACATATGCGGGGATGCTTATTACTTTATTTTGCATTAGGAGAAGTATAGGAATGATGTCTATCTATGGGTTAAATAACTGTGTCCCTCTATCCTGTGGTTACCGTGGAGATGGAAGAGGATGACAGATGTGTATAGAGGAACATGGGAAGATTTCCAGGGCATGTTGTACTAGGGAGTCCTGGAAGCAAAGAGAGACAGGTTCATACGTGGTAGAGACCTCTCCTATCATCCTGAGTAGAGTCTTGGGTAGGGGCTTAGGAAAGTTATAAAAAGGGGGTTTACTATCAATGGACCTCAGGTCTTTAGAGAGCCAAGTTTTCCCTAATAACCCCTCACTGGGTATTCAGGTCATTAAAAGCATGTATTTTTGTGTGCTATTCTTTAATGACCAAAATATCATGTCATATCGTTTCATTGACTAAATTAAAAATCATCTGCAATTTTTACAAAGGGATACTGGCTTCAAATGAAGCCAGTGGAGCTATGTTCCTGAGGGTGTTTGATTCGGGGTCAGAAAACCTGCACTCAATCCTTAATTTCCCATGGACTAAATCTCTAACTTGGGTCTAGTATTTGTACTTATTTATGTGAGCTTCATTTGCCTCATCCATGCCTTGAGAGAGGTGGACAAAATCATCTCTGTGGTCTTTTGTTGTAAGATTCTATCCGTCTATTACTCTTAAAGCTTGTGGAACATTAATAAGAATAATAACTGCTAACATATGGCTAGTGATAACCATGTGATAGACACTGCTCTTAGCTTCTTATATGTATTAACCATTTTAAGTCTCATAGCAACATGTGAAATAAATACTATTATCTCTATTTTATGGAAGAAGCTCAGGCCCAGAAATTAAGTATGTTCAGTCACATAGCTAGAAAGTTGTGGAGCTGTTAACAGATCCTAAATCCAGTCTGACTCCAGAATCTATGATTGCAGCCATTCTGTTACATTGCAATTAAAAGCCCCCTTTTTCTTGCTACCTGATTTAATGATTCATTCAAAAAAAAAAATGAGTGTTTAGGAAGCAAATCTGAAAAACTGATATGAAACATACAGATGAATATAAAAAAAGTATCTGCAAGAGAACTAATACAAAAAACAAGCAAAAGTTTTACTTATTTAGCAGTTTTATAACATATCAACCTCTATGTACTATAATGTACCTGTATCTACTTGCTTCAAATGCAAAAAAAAAAGATGTCACAACTACCTCATTCTTATGCATGTTTTTCTCTGAAAATAACACCATAAGACACATGCGGCGTTGATGCTTTCGATTTTAATTTCACAGATGAAAGAACTCGGTGTCATCTTCTACAACTGCAGCTGCCTGGTCCTCGATTTACAAAGGATATTTGCTCTATATAGTTCATTAAAATTCAAAAGCAGAGTGCCTCAAACCTGGTCCAAAAGACTCTATGGAGTCTACGACAATGAAAAGAAACTGCAACTTCAGTTGAATGAAACCAAATCTCAAGCGTTTGTGTCGGTGAGTTGCTCTCCCCTCCTCCCCTTCTCATTCTTCCTCCAAAGGCTCTTTATTAAATTGGAATTATTAAGTGTGATCCTGTATTGGGCAAAAACCAGCGACAGTGGTTCTGTCCCATAACTCAAAGAGTCAGAATGTGTCCACGCTTACGCTCCGTTGTGCACTCAAACATAATAAATCTTGATCAGCATTCCTCCTGTCAGATACGTTGAGTTATCTGATTTGATTTCCTCAGTCACCCTGTAAGCTAAGCATGGGGTTGTGACCATTTTGCAAATGAAGGTATTAACACTTACCTACTGTTAAAACATGTGCTCTGAATAAAGAGACCCCAAACAGGCTTTTTGTGAGCAACGTGGCTGTTTATTCACCCTGGTGCGGGCAGGCTGAGTCTGAAAAGAGTCAGCGGAGGGCGATGGGATAGGAGTTGGTTTTAAAGGTTTGGGGTAAGCAGCAGAAAGTTACAGAAGTTACAGTTTAGGGCGGTTTTTTTTGTTTTTGTTTTGTTTTGTTTTGTTTTTTTTTTTTTGCAAGCTGGGAAAGGTTCTTAGGGTCTGGAGTCACGAGGTTGACCAAGGTCGGTTACAAAGTCCAATGGCCTTGTCAATCGAGGCCGGAATAAGAAACAACAGAAGACTGTCTCAGGTTAGTTAGGGGCTGCAGGGGTTGATCGTCCTTCTACTTTCCAGTTACTTCAGGTTTTCTAAATCCATAAGGCCCTCCAGAGGTGTATGTGTGGGTCATGGGGTCACCAAGCACAGTCAGACCTTACACCTCCTAGCAAAAAGTCCATCAGATGGGACATGCCAAGAGAGGTGCCAGCACCCAGCTCTTCTGACACCAGAGCTATTCACCTATTTTCTTTCTTTACTATTATTCTTTAAGCCCCGCTGAGTGATGTTCCCCTCCCTGTGTCCATGTGTTCTCATTGTTCAACACCCACTTATGAGTGAGAACAGGTGGTGTTTGATTTTCTGTTCTTGTGACGGTTTGTATTAGCCTCTTTTCAGTGCCCTACATTGATGATTTTTCAGACTTGTTTTAGCAGTAGAACCCTTTGATGAGACAAATCTGAGGGAATCTCAGTGTATAAATCAGACAAAAACAGAGCTGCTGTACCGGGTTGGGCCACGCAGGCAGGAGGCCCACACAGCAGGACAGTGCTCCTTGCACAGCTTTGCGCCACTGACTCTGCCAAGAACCATTAGCCACACCCCCTCGCCCTCACCTTTCCAGTCCACCACCCAGCTGGCCACGTGCCTCAGCTATCCAGAGATGTTACTGGGAATGGGCAATGTAAATCTCTGGGCCTATTGTCGTAGTGCTCAAGCCATAGTATAGTAGATCCTTGAATAACATTGTGTTGTATAGTGCCCATTCATTATAATGTTGATAAGAACAAAAAGTTGATTTCCAGCTGGGGTCACTGGGTGTGTGGAGTTAGCACATTCTCCCCATGTCTGTGTTGGTTTTTGCCGGGTACTCCTGTTTCCTTCCATATCCCAAAGCTGTGAAAGTGAGATGAACTGGCAGCTCTATGTGGTCCCAGTGGGAGCAAGTGTGAATGTGTGTGTGACTCTGCCCTGCAGTGGGATGTCATCCTGTCCACAGGGGTCCTGGCTGCATCGGGCTCTGGCCACCCGTGATCCTGGGTAAAGAATTATTTTACTTGTTTTTATTAATCTTTTTGTTTTGTTTTGTTTTGAGACAGAGTCTTGCTCAGTCGCCCAGGCTAGAGTGGAGTGGCGCGATCTCAGCTCACTGCAACCCCCGCCTCCTGGGTTCAAGCAATTCTCCTGCCTCAGCCTCTCAGTAGCTGGGATTACAGGTGCCCACCACCACACCCGGCTAATTTTTTTGTATTTTTAGAAAAGACAGGGTTTCATCATGTTGGCCAGGCTGGTCTTGAACCCCTTACCTCAAATGATTTGCCCTCCTTGACCTCCCAAAATGCTGGGATTAAAGGCATGAGCCACTGCGCCCAGCCATTAATCTTTCTTAAATGTATGTATGGCTTATATTTGTTTCAATGCTTAATACTCAAAGTGTTTTGGTCTTTAGAAGTTTGGTGCTGTTTTTGTGACCAGCAATAACCCATAGCAACTTAACTCTGGTTTATATCAATAGCCTCTGGTAAAATTGTTATCGTCTATCAGCTTGCTTAAAGTCAGAGTATTCAAGAATACTGTGGACGGCATTAAGTGAGGACTTAATGGTACTTAAGAATTGGCTAGGAAGCCTGTTTAAAGGGCAGATTTACAGTGTCCCCTGTCCCCATCCAGATCTTATCCACTGGATCAGAGATGAGATCTTGGAATTTTTATTTGAAGCAAGCCTCTTAACTTATCCTGATGTTCAGAGCAACTTCTCTAAGTAATGCTCCTAATATAATATTGCTATTTTGACCTTGATTGATATTAGGGCTTTTATATAAACAAATTTTGTGTCACTAAACAACATTTTATTTTTTTATTTTTATTTTTATTTTTTATTTTATTTATTTATTTATTTATTTTTTTTTTTTGAGATGGAGTTTCGCTCTTGTTACCCAGGCTGGAGTACAATGGCGCGATCTCGGCTCACCGCAACCTCCGCCTCCTGGGTTCAAGCAATTCTCCTGCCTCAGCCACCTGAGTAGCTGGGATTACAGGCACGCGCCACCATGCCCAGCTAATTTTTTTGTATCTTTAGTAGAGACGGGGTTTCACCATGTGGACCAGGATGGTCTCGATCTCTTGACCTCGTGATCCACCCGCCTCGGCCTCCCAAAGTGCTGGGATTACAGGCTTGAGCCACCGCGCCCAGCAACAACATTTTATTGAAGATAAGGTGAATTGTATCCTTTTTGCTTGTTCAAATGAAAGTACCATCCAAAAGTTTAGAAATGTAATCTTTATTGAAGATAAGTGAATTGTATCCTTTTTGCTTGTTCAAATGAAAGTACCATCCTAAAGTTTACAAATGTAATCTTTATTGAAGATAAGTGAATTGTATCCTTTTTGCTTGTTCAAATGAAAGTACCATCCTAAAGTTTACAAATGTAACAATAGAAAAACAAAAGTTTAGAAATGTAACAAGTTGTTTGTCGTAAATAACAAAGTCACATCAATGTAAAGAACAGCAAGTAGACTATGAAGGTTGTTCATCAACTAGAGCTAAAATAACTTTTTTGTATGGAGGAAGTCAAGAACAGAGTAGCAAAAGTAGCAGGTTATAGGGCATTTTACTAACGGAATATAAATGTAAATTATGTATACATTTTCAATTCATCTCAAGATGATCCTATAAGCTCAAGAGGCCAGAGAGTATTCCCAATTTGTGGATGAGTAGCAATAGAAAATTTGCCAAGGAACCTTTAATTCAGATGGTAATAGAGTGATATTACAGGCCAAGAATGGAACACGTGCTCAGTCAGGTCCAGCAGAAAAACAAATTGGAAATGGCAAAAAATAGATGAATTAATGAACAAATTTTGAATAATCACTGGATTTTGAATTTGCAATCTAAATCTTGGAGCAAAGTGAAATGTGGTTGTTGCGTAAGTTTAAATACTAACTCTTAAACAGAAAAGGGTCAGGTTTTTGTCGATTTTAAAGTTCATGTATTTCCCACAGCGAGTGGTCTCAGGCCTTTAGTAAAATCTAATACAGTTCAGCACCTTCGTTATTTTCTAGGGCAAATTTAGAAGTGGCTTTTTCTTAAAGAGTTCACCTCAAAATTAGTTGTGAAACATTTCTTTGGGTGGTCTTTTAAATTATGTAACACCTTTACTTTCTATTTTTATTTACTCATTTTAATTTGCTGTGTTATTTTATATTTTTTTGTTAATATCAAGCCTAACCTTGAATTTCAATTCAACAGATACTGATGGAACACCATTTTGGAGAGGTATAAAATCTTACAGGTACAAAAAAAGTCAGAAAACCCTGCTATTAGAATTGGTATCATTCAGACAGAGCTTATTGAACTCCTTTCTATTTTAGCATTTATCATATTTTATAACTATTTACTTATAAATATCTTTCCTGCCATTTTATTAGACTCTGAGAATTATCTACTGTTAATATATTCTTTTCATAATTGGTATTCCCAGAATTTAACTTGGTGTTAGCTTAGAACAATAAATGTTGGATAGGTTTTATTAATGATAATATTAATAGAAAGCTCCAGAATGTATAGTTTTCTCAGTAATATATGCCAGACAAATGCCAAGACAGATTTACTTAAATTCAATATATTTGTTGTAAATATCTTAAAATAGTCTGATTTTCTCAAGACTAAGTGGAACACATATGTAAAGAGTGTTTGAAAACCTTAGTAACCATTCTTTAAATTAAATTTTAGATAATTGATAACTTAGCATAGTTTGATATAAATTTTAACTTATAAAGATTATTTGCAATTTTTTTCATGGAATGCAAATAGGCACTTAGATTTAACTGTGTGATTTCTAGTAACTTGGGGCCAGATAATTCTAATTCTCTTATATTTTCCGTTGAAATTGGATGATGGGAACAATAGTTGGCTGTTTCTGTTTTGTAGATTTCTTTTTAGAGTTCTTAAGCTTAAGCAATTGCTTTCCAAGATAAAGACTAGTTCAAGGTCTGTTTTTATTGATCTAGATGTCAGACAGATTTCATTTCTTTTGTTCTTGTTTTTGTTTTTGTTTTGTTTTTTGAGACAGAGTCTTGCTTTGTCACCCAGGTTGGTACAGTGGTGAGATCTTGGCTCACTGCAACCTCTGCCTCCCAGGTTCAAGCAATTCTCCTGTCTCAGCCTCCCGAGCAATTCTCCTGTCACAGCCTCCCGAGTAGCTGGGATTACAGATGCATGCTCCTCGCCTGGCTAATTGTTTGTATTTTAGTAGAGGCAGGGTTTCACCATGTTTCCTAGGCTGATCTCAAACTCCTGAGCTAAGGCAATCCACCTGCCTCAGCCTCCCAAGGTGCTGGGATTACAGGTGTGAGCCACCACGCCTGGCCAGATTTCATTTCTTGTTG